CTGTCTGACCTTGAAAACATATCTAATATGACTATAAGTTTGATTTTAATAGTTAACTAATTAAACCTACATTTCCTTATTACCCTATATAGTTGGTAATAATAACGTTCAAGGACTAGAAATCTGCATTACATTCATTGTTAAGTGAGCTAGCTATATCGGTATAATACCTTGAACAAGATTGGAAACGTATTACAGCATGTTTTAACAAAATTAATCTCAAATTTGTGTCAATATACAAAATTTGTATATAATAAGGTGATGGGTTCATGTTTTGTATGGAGGATTTGCTATTTGATGTGCTGTAAACTTTAAACATGATTATAAATACAGATAAATGGCTGGGGTGTGGTGGCGTACACCTGCAATCCTGGCACTTGGGAGGCAAAGGCACTATTTCTAGAACTACTATTTTATGACTTTATTATCCCATTAAAGCAGCAGCAGCCATGGCCATACTAATTGCCAGTATCGATAGAGGGCTTGAGGGCTCTATAAAGCTGGGTGCTGTGCTCAGGAAACTCCAGTGCAGATTGGATAATCACCTGACACTTGAAAAGGAAGATCAAGTAAGTTACAGCTCTTGCATGTCTGTAATTTGCTCTGCATGGATGCTACCAGGTGGTCTTACTACTTGAGATCTTTCTAGGTGTGAAGATACTTCTGCTAGAGCCACAGCTTCCCTTTAACTACTGAACGAACATACATGGCAGCTTTGCTGTCTCCAGCTAGCCTCCCCGTCCTTGATATTGAAGTAAAGTAGAGAAGGAGGAGCTTCTGCTGTTACATATGGCCATAGTGTGGAGGAACATCACCCACAGGGAATAAGAGCAAGAGCTATTTGAGTGTAAGCCCTGAGAAGAGGTCCACCTGTCAGTGCAGACCCAAACTAGGCGAGGGTTAGGGGAAGGGGAGAGCCAGGATCTGGAACCGGCTTTTATCATCCTGTCCATCAGATCCTGAGCTGAGATGGCATAGGCAGACCTGAGAGTGAGTCAATAGGCTTAGGGATGGTGTGGATAGACCTGGGGACAGCGTGGGTATGCTTGGGGATAGTGTATTTTGGTCTGGAAGTGGTGTAGATGGGCCTGGACATAGCATAGAAAGGACTTGGGACATGTATGTGGATGGGGAACAGTCCCTAGCATATTTGGGCTTCATGTGCTTTGGCTCATCATGGTACATATACCTTTGAGTTATTCTGGGTGAGAGCTGGGAGGGACAACATCCCCAGATGCCATAGAGTACTGCTGTGGAGCATATCACTTCCCAGGTGGACCATTTGGTTGGTAGGCCTTTTATAATGGCTCTATGCAAAATACAGAACAAGCCGGGCGTTGGTGGCGCATGCCTTTAATCCCAGCACTCGGGAGGCAGAAGCAGGCAGATCTCTGTGAGTTCGAGGCCAGCCTGGTCTACAAGAGCTAGTTCCAGGGCAGCCTCCAAAGCCACAGAGAAACCCTGTCTTGAAAAAACCAAAAAACCAAAACCAAAACCAAAACCAAAAAACAAAAAGCAAAATACAGAACAAAAGAGATGAATTTTGTTAAAACATGGAATTTCAGTTTTGTCTATGCTATCACTGCCATCCGTTGGTGTTGTAGCCTTAATTCTGTTTCAAGATTAAATTGTACTCTCATGACCTCTGAATGCTTTCACTGTTTAGATGTAATTAAGAAAGAGGAAAATCCAGCTTGGTAGAGTACTTACTTGCCTTTCATGCTCAAAGCCCTGGGTTCATCCCCAGCACCACATGAACTGGGTGGTATATGCCTATAATTCCAGCACTCTGGAGATGGAGGCAGGAGAATCAGAAGTTCAAGATTATCTTTGACTGTGTATGTAGTTTGAGGTCAACCTGGCCTACATGAGAATGGAGAGCTCCCCTGGGTGGTGGTGGTGCACACCTTTAATCCCAACACTTGGGAGGCAGAGACATTTGGATCTCTGTGAGTTCAAGGCCAGCCTGGTCTACAGAGTGAGTTCCAAGACAGGCTCCAAAAGCTACAGAGAAGCCCTGTCTCAAAAAACCAAAAGAGGAAAAAGAAATGGAGTGCTCCTACATGTGGATGTTGGCTTGATAGACACTACAACAGTGTACAGTTTCGAAAGTTGGGAGGGGGAAACTTACCTCTTCTATCATTTTCTTTTCAGACAGAGCTAGGAATGGCTGTAAAATGTCACTGAATGACCTCTGTGAATCCTTTCCTAGTTTAGGTGTAGTTAAGAAACAGAAAAACCTGGGACTGGGGATGTAGCTCAGTTGGTTGGAGACAGTGGGTCTGGAATGGTTAGGGTTGTACACCTGGCCCTGCAGGAAATGAGATTTAAGATTACTTGAACATTAAAGTGCTGCCAAGGGTAAAAACAAACAGCCCTTTCAGTTTCTCACTGACCACAAATTTTGCAAATGCTTAGAACCAGTGTTCCTTCCATGATTTGGGAAGTAGCTTGTTGGCTATTTCAAGTGTTTCTTAACTATCTGGCTGTTGCTTTAGGAACTCTTGGGGAGGTGAAGGATTAAAAAAAAAAAAATTGTTTGGGCTCTAGAGATGGCTCAGTGGTTAATGGCACATACTGCTTTTATTGAGGACACAAGTTTGGTTTCCAGCATCCATATTGGGTGTAGCCCCAGGTTCAGGGATCCGATGCATGCATGTGGTGCACATGCCCATGTACATGTAATTAAACATCAAATAGATTATTCTTCATGCCACTCATTTCTTCGAATCTGATAGTTTTAGCATTGGTGTGATTCCTAAATTATTGACCTATAGCTGATGTGAGATAATTTTGATGATAGCAAAATGTTGAGGAACCTTCTTCAGAAAATTTGGTAACTTGAGGGGCTGGCTCAGCCCACCAATTGCTTGTCGCTTAAGAATGGGAACCCATGCTTGGATTTCCAGCACCCACATAAAAAGCCAGGCCTAATGGCATGTGTCTGTCACCCTAGCCCTGGGTCAGGGACAGAGAAAGCCAGATCCCTGGAGTTCACTGAGTTGGTGAGCTTCTAGCTAAGTGAGAAGCCCTGTCTCAAAAGGTAAGGTGGAAGCTGGAGAGATGGCTCAGTGGCTAAGATTACTCGCTGCTCTTGTAGAGGACCTGGGTTTGATTCCCAGCACCTGCATAGAGGCTTATAAGCATCTGTAACTCCAAGGGATCCAATATCCTCTTCTGGCTTTCTCTGGAACCAGGTATGCATGTGGTTCACATAAATACACATAGGCGAAACACTCATATACATAAGATAAAAATAAATCTTAAAAAAATTAATTCGGGCCGGGCATTGGTAGCGCATGCCTTTAATCCCAGCACTTGGGAGGCAGAGGCAGGCGGATCTCTGTGAGTTCGAGGCCAGCCTGGTCTCTAGAGTGAGTGCCAGGATAGGCTCCAAAGCTACACAGAGAAACCCTGTCTGGAAAAACCAAAAAAAAAAAAAAAAATTAATTTGGAGAAAGATTAAGTAAGACGCCTTACACTGAGCTCTGCTCTGTACGCACAAGGACATACGTCCACACCCACATAAACAGTACCCATTCCCTCATCTCCCCACACATCTTGGTAACTGCAGTTATCAGAGTTGGTAGCTTTGTTCTTTATTGTAATGTTTTCTCAGAAACCATTCCTTTACCTCACTCAGAGCTATCTCAGAGGCTCATCCAAGAAGGTCCGAGCAATGATTGGCAAGGCTTCAGTCCTACCCAGCAGTAAACATTTACTGAGCCCTACTGCTTCCTAGAGACAGTGGATCTGGAGTAGATGAGCTTTCGGTCTGTATGCAGGCCTCTACCCTCCTTTGGCATTGCTTAGAGCTTGCTCTCAGGGATAAAGATGTTGATACTGTAAACAGTTCTATTCCACAGTCCTTAGAAAGAGGAAATTGCTCCCATGTGGATGAAAAATAACCAAACTATTTTGTAGTACACATTTCCATGAAGTAGGATAAGGACTAGTTGCTTAGTTTTAGAAGATTTAACCAGTTGGTTTGCATTTGTGTGGGAGGGGGTGGGGGGTACGGGGTGAGATCAAATCTTTTCTCTCCTTTCCCTCCTTTTGAAGGCCTTGGTTGTTTTATAAGTCTCTGAGGAGATAGTCTCTTGGATATCAGAACGTACAAAGGTGTGTGTGTGTGTGTGTGTGTGTGTGTGTGTGTGTGTGTGTGTGTGTGTATGCAGGTGAGTGCAGTACCCGAGGAGGCCCCAAGAAGGTGTCAAATCACCCGGAGCTGGAGTTACAGGTGGTTGTAAGCTGCCTGATGTCGGTGATAGCAACTGAATTCAGATCCTCCGGACGAGCAGTAATCTCTCTTAGTCACTGAGCCATCTCTCCAGGCCCTAAAAAATGGACAGATACAAGTAATGTGTTGTATTTGAAGGAGCCTGCTTGGAATTGGGTTGTCTTTATCTCCCCTGGCCATCTCCTGACTTTGTAACAGAGCTGTTTTTGAGCTTGTTTCTGTGTGTGCTTAGAACCATATGTGGTGATGCTATTATTGTGGTCTAGTCAGTGTTGGAGTTGGTGAAAGCTTTAGTGCCTGCTGCTTTAGTATAGATACTCCTTCCTTACCAAGAGTAGCTTTGTTTCTGCCGACCTCAGGCCCATCCATCTTTCTTTGAGGCAGAGTCTTTCATTGGCCTGGAGTGTCACCCAATAGGCTAGGCTGGCTGTCCAGCAAACCACAGGGATCAGCCTGTCTCCATCTCCCATCTCCCATCATCTGCCATAGCTGGGATTATAAGTGCCCGGCATCACTCCTGGCATTTCCATGGGTTCTGGGATGAAAGGTGGGTCCCCATGATTGCAAGCAATGCTCTTTCCCACTGAGCTGTCTCTAACCCCTGGGTTTTAATGTCTTCGAGGAGAATATCTTCCTCTTAAGCATCTGAGTTCCAAAAGTCAGAAACAGAGGTCAGACAAGCTCTTTGACAGTCTCTCCATGCAGTGACTCATGTCCTTCCACAGGGGAACTTAAAGCTGTTTTTGTCCTTTTCTTTCAGGAGTGATTCTTCACCGGAAGTGGACTTTGGAGAGGGGTTCATTAGACCAGGTAAGTGCTGCAGTCAGCAACTATGTATCCCACTGAGCCCAGAGATCACAATACTTGCCCTTGGAAGAGAGAGGACCAAGAATTTGGGTCAGATGTTATCTTTTAGAAACATTAAGAAAACAAAAACAAAAACAAAAACAAAAAAGCATAGACACTGGGCTGGGGATATAGCCAAGTTAGCATTCATAAAGCCCTGGGTTCAATCCTTTTCACTACATAAAAACATAGGTAGTGGTGTGAGATCAAATCTAGGACCCTCTTGGCCTCGTGCCTGTAATTCCAGCTCTCAGAATGTGAGGTACATGGATCAGAAGTTCACTCATTTTGGCCATGTACAAAGTTTGAGGCCTGTCTGGGCCTCAATTGCATGAAATTCTGTCGCAAAAAGAAATACATATACATTTGCATACATCAAATACAAACACACATCACAAACATATAAATAAAATAAAGCCAAATAGAGACACAGTGGTTCCAGAGGTTGTGGGTGTCCCCTTGATGCCTTTAATCCTGCAGGGACATCTCTGGCTATCTAGTGAAGGTATAGAGTAGACTAGCTGTCAGCTAATTGTGGAGAAATGTCTTATCTCTATAGAATTAACAGGAGTCTGTTTATTACTTCATGTAATCTTTACAAAATAGGAACTTTGGTGACTTTTCAGTTCAGTCATAGCCACTAATTCTAATGAATCCATGGCCCCTTCAGAAGCAGCCAAACCCAGGGCTGACACAGGGGATTATGACAGAACCACATGTAAAGCCACTGAAGTAGAAAAGCATGGCTTCTAAAGATAGTTTAGCATGAGTACGGGAAGATTGAATAAGAACCTGAGTTCAAATCTCCGGCACCCATTTAAAAAGCTAGGAGTGACCACACATACACCCAAAACCCCAGTGCTTTGGGGGACAGACAAGAGGCTTGCTGGGCCTTGCTGGCCACCAGCCTACCTCTAGACTCAGTGACAGACCCTGTCTCAAGAGAATAAGGCAGAAAATGAGAGAGCAGGACACGTGGTGCCCTCTTGGCCTCGTGTACCCCCACCACACAAGTGTATACATTCTGCTCATACCACACACATATACCATATATGTTCACACACAGAACGATTGAATATACCATGTGCATTCACACACAGAATGGTCGAAACTTATCTGAACTCAGGCTATATGAGGAACACTTGCTGAAGGAGTTTATTTCTTTGCTCCCCATATTTTGTCTATTTTGTAGAGAAAACAGTTTGCTAAGTATTTCTTTCAACTGTCTGGGTCCCCTGCGGTGCTTCAAACTCCCTCTGAGAGTTAGTTACCTTGGTAAACTCAGAGCAGAGCATGTGGGCCTCACAGGCTGAGAGGATTTAGGTGTCAAGGTTATGGGGCCAACACAATGCAATATTAAACATTTCTAATCCTTATTTCTTTTATGTATGTGGGTCTTTGAACACACTCAGACTCTAACCACATCACAGGAGTAAAAACACCAAGGCGATGCCCTCAGAAGAATCACTTAATGTGAATAACAGCATTAAAGTTAGCGCTAAATCAGTCATGTGACCATGTGACTTTTATCTGTGGTTTCTCTCTGGCTGTCACCTTGAGAGTCTGTCCCTCTGGGAGAAATCAGAAATATATTAGGAAGTGTCTCCTTTGGAAGCTCAAAGGCATTTTGAATCTCTAAGGACCTGGAATTTTTTTTTCCTTTTTATCTAAAGTACAGTAATCATTTTGAATGCCCACAACCTTCTTAATGAGAATGAGACATTGCAAGATCTGGAAACCAAGCAAGCTATCCTCAGACTTTGCACTCCATGAAACTGGTTCAGTGGTGTCTAGTAAGCAGTCTGCTCAGTGCTTTCCATGGTTGTCAAGGATGACAGTTGGGGCCTTGGGGAAGGCAGAGCTGGGCATATTGTCTCTGCTCTCCAATGGATAGCTTATGCTTAGAGATGAGTATCAGGGTGCTATCTCACTCCACTGGCAGTATTTGCCTAGTATGCAGGAAGCCCTGGGTTCAGTCTCCATTACTATATATATACTGGGTGTTGAGGTGAGTATCTGTAGTCCTGGTACTCTGAAGGTAGACACAGAAGGATCAAGAGTTCAAAGTCATCCTCAGCTACTTCGTGAGTTTGAGGACAGCCTGGGCTACATGGAACTTGGTCTAGTTTGCATTTTCTTTCTTTCTTTTTTCTCTTTTTATTTTTTGAGACAGGGTTTCTCTGTGTATCTTTGTAGATCAGGCTGGCCTCAAACTCACAGAGATCCGCCTGCCTCTGCCTCTGCCTCCCGAATTCTGGCATAAAAGGTGTGTGCCACCACCGCCTGGCTATGTTGCATTTTCTATACTGTTTTGTTTTGTTTTGTTTTCTGGAAGTCTCCATATCTTCCCCATGCTCTCTTCTTTCTCACAGTGTGGGTTTGTCAGCCCTCACGAAACAAGCAGATGTATTAATGTCATGTAGGACTCCTGAGATATGTCTTTCTACTACCTAAATCTGTTATCTCCCCCCCCCCCCCGACTGTAGTGTGCCATAGTTAGCCACCTTTTGGGGGAGGGCCTCTTGGCCCAACCAAACATGACTACTGAAAGAGCAGCTGCCTGTCAACCTCCCCCAGAGCTGCTGGTTTGGGCTCTTGTCAGTTTGGTGTTGGAGGAGATCCATAAGCAGCAGACTCGGCTGTTACTGACATTTACAACTTGAAAGCCACACCATAGATGGCTTTACATTTCTTATCTTCCTTTAAATAGCCTTCAGTAGATATAGCACATGGCCTTTCCATACATGCATGGCCCCAAATAGGAACATAGCCGGCCTCCCTTGAAGGTGGCAGAGTGACTCACCCTCTTTCTCTACCGTGTTATCGGCGAGTCTCCGCTGACGTAGGGTAGCAGTGCACCAAGGTAAGATATGCCTGTGATATGCCAGCTTATGAAGAAATAGTTATCTGGACAGTTTTGGGGGCTATTAATGCCCCTGGTTGGTTGGCCCTGTTAGTTTGGCCTGTGGTGAGGCAGTGTACCTTGGTGGTACATGATGGGGGGAAACCTGCTCACCTCATGTCCAGGATGCCGGAAAGGAGAAGGGAGAAATGGTGGCATAACTTAGATGGTGTACCCCGACTCTTCTCTGAGGGCAAATCCTAAATAAACTGAAGACCTCCAACTAGATGTGTGTGCATGAGTGCATGTGTGCGTATGTGTGCCTGCGTGAGTGTGTGTGTGTGCCTGATTGTGGGGGCCACAGGTTAACTTTAGGTGTCATTCTTCAGGCAATGCCCGTCTCATGCTTTGAGACAGGCTGTCATAGTTTTCTTTGACTGTTAACTTGACACAGCCTAGAGGCCCATGACTGAAAATCCTCAACTGACAAATTTCTAAGATCAAGTGTCTTGATGGCTAATTGATATAGGAAGGCCCATCCCACCGTGGGCAGCACCCCTAAGCAGTATCTCTGGGCTGTATTTGAAAGCTAGCTATCAAATGAGGTAAGAAACATTTTCATTCACCGAGGTAAGAAACGATGGAATCTTGCAAAGAGTGGAGGAGTCTGCAAAGTGGATGGCCAGTGATCATGCTGGCTATCAGCAGCCCAGGGTGGCTTTGCTGTCTGTGAGAGAGAACTGGCCCTGTGCCATAGACTACATTTGTATTTAAGGGGGTAAAAAGCGACCCAGGTGCTTATGAATTGAGAGTGACTCCCCTGGGTCTTTAAAAAGTAAATAGCACTAAGTGGAGGGGGCCATGGCTGCACTGTGTGAGGGACGGCTGGGAGGGGCCCGCAGCGAGGTTCAGTAGAAGTAACTGGACTTGATGGAAATACTACTGATGGCAGTAGTATCCTTATAAGTATGCCCCTTTTCTTCCCACAGCAATGAACAGAACACAAAGCAAAAGCCTTTCTTTGCTCTTAATTCAGAAAGAGCTGAGAGTCAGAGTGAGAGAAGTGAGATTAGGGGAGACACAAGGGTGAAACAGTTTTAGGGCAGTTCTGAACAAAGCCAGCAACCATGTACAGTTTTGAAAGAGAAAATGTCTTTTAGGTCTAAGTGCTCAGTCATTGCTGCTCTCTGTAAGTGCATAGCTAGGTACCCATGGGTAACACAGAGTCCTTGGTCTAGGAGTTCATCTTAATGAGGTTTGACTTTGGGGTGGCACAAGAGCTGTGTTTCCAATGGACGCCATAGCCCTTCTGTAAAATTTGAATTTGGATCTTTTCCCAGACCAGTGAGTATGTGATAGAATGTGCTTTGGGGTTGCTGCTCAGAGGCAGCAAGCCACATCTCCCTGCCATGTGGTCCTAATGGGGACAGATGACACTCACAAGAGGACAGAGGACACCTGGCCGGAGTTAGGGCTCTCCTTCTCCCATGTGGGTCCCAGGGATGGAACTCTTGTCAGGCGTGGCAGTGAGCATTGTTACTCACTGAGCCATCTTGCCAGCCCTGAAGGATTTTAACGTATCATTAAAATCTAAAACAGTGAGGATGTAAGAACCCTAAGTGTAATGTTTAGCAAATGATACTGTAGTTCATAGAAGATAATTTACTTAATTTTAGAAGTTAAACAGTGGTCTTCTTCTTGAACTGTTTAAGAAAAAAGGGGGATTTATGAATGTGATTCTCCTTATTTTTTTGACATAGGGTCTCACTTCATAGCCCACACTAGCCTTGAACTCTCTATGTAGGCAGGTAAAGATGACTTTCTGTGGTACAGAAGCTACAACCCAGAGCTTTGTACACGCTAGGCAAGCACTCTACCAACTGAGCCACATCCCTAGCTCCAAGCATATAATTTTTATTTGAAAACTTACCACCTCAACTGTCTGAGCCTTTAATCGCTGCACTCAACACAGCAAAAACACAGAACTGCGATATCAGTGTAATATAAACGTGAGGGAGTTTTGGATGCTTTGGAGTTTAAATAATAAGAGGACTTGAGGAGAGGAGTCAGGGCAGCTATGGAGTGGTTCTGCACCATGATCGTCGAGGTGTCAGTGGAGAGA